GGAGCTCGGTGCCTGGACCCCTGCCCTCCCTGGCCGTCTGGACGCAGCAGAGGGAGGTGCTGCTGTTGCCGCTGGTCTCAAGGGTTGACTGCCCTCTTGTCTGTTCTGAACAACTCAGGGGGCCTCTGGGATGATGCCTTCACAGAATTAGGACACGTCCCAGACTTGCCACTCCTCGTAAACATGGAGATTTCACGGGATATGAGGAGGCTCCGTCCCACATTTTATTCGGTCGTAAATGAGGGACCGATTACATGTTCAGACGGTTCGAGGCTTGCCGGGCAATTCTTGTTCTATTTCTCAGGTGAGAAATTAGCAGAATCCTCTCACAGTCTTGTCCGTGCCGAACTGCAAACAAGTAAGAACTGAAAAGCCTCACATCGACTCAGATCTGAGTGCTTCTCGAGGATATACGTTCCTGGAAAACCCGGTCAGGAACATATGTGAGCCCAGCAAAAGGAGACACGCCGTCTCGATAGATTTTTGTTTATTTTTCGCAGAAGGAGCCACGGAAACGCACGCTCGGTGCCAGAGGGCATCGAGAGTTTTCCCCGGGGATGCAGCACACAGAGGGAGCTTCCGGGAGCCACACGTGGATGGTTCACTGGCCTCGCAGACAAATCTCAAACTGACCAGCGCGCCCCTATTTTTATTTAACTGTGGACTTGTCTGTTCCCAAAACCGTTACAGACTACCTTTGCACTGCGTATAGCAATCTGGTTCACAAGTAGGCACCTGCGTGTGACTTTCCCCTTAGGGATGCACTTTTTGGGAAACGTCCCTTCCCACTCACCACCCCCCACCTCCTGCCTCCCCCACCCTCCCCCCTGCCCAGGAATGCAGGAAGCACTTCGGGAAGGGGATCCAGAAGGGGATCGGAGCACACCTAGGCAGACCCAGAGCGGGGTTTCTGTGCTGGCTCCTTCCTGAGAGCCCGAAACGCCCCGTGTGGGTAGCTGGGGTTGCTTCCTAAGGAATCCGAGCTGCAGCAAATGTGCCGAGACCCTCAGCAACGTCGGCAGGGTTGTGACACGGGCTTCAGCGTGTCGAGCCCCAGGATCTCTGAGTGGGAAGATCTGGGGGTATCTGCGTGCTGGCCCTTCTTTCCCAGGGGGACAGTCTGGTGCCCTTCCCTGTCGCCCTGGGCCCTGCCCGGAACTCCGAGTAAAGCTTCTGTGAATTAGGATGTGTGCCAGGGAGCTAAGGACCCTCACAACCGGTGAGATCCCATTTGAGACAATGGAATAATGACCTTGGGGGGAAGCTTCCTTTGGCAGTGGTCTCAACTTCACCACTTACTTGCTCGGCGTTTGGATGCCCTGAAGATGGGTGGGTGTGGTCACGTCAAGTTAACCCGCTTGACCTTTGCTCCCTTGGGTATCTCCCTGCTCTGGAACTCGTTGACACGTGAAGAAGGCACAAGCTTTTGCTTTTCGCCTCTGGGCGATGTTCTTCTCTGCGTAAAGCCAGCAGTTACGAGAGGCGTGCCCCGTGGCCACCGGGAGCGGCGGTCACTGTCGTGATCAGTGGACAGAGTAATTAAGGCTCAGGTGAGCGTTTCCTGTTCAACCCTTCCTGTCCCCGAGGCAGCGACAGCTGCCTGTGTCTGGGCTGACCTTAGGGGCAGGAAGCAATCATACAGGAGTAACCAGAGACAGGAACCTTCCAATAGATCGACATAAAATACAGTCTGGTTATTGGTAGACAGCCCACACTACCTAACTGAGAAACTGCAGGGGTATTTTCTTAGAGGGGGTGGAGGGTGGGAAGGGGGCCCCAGCTTTAATGACGCATCCTCACGGATGCTTAACACCTCCTCTGGCCGAGTCTCCCTCCAGGCCGAACACACGCCTACCACACTTTCCCTAGGAGTGAGAAGGCTGTTTGGCGATCCAGGCACTGGACCCTCGTTCTGTGAAAGTTGGGCCCTCTGGATGTGTTTTCCGTTGTACAAATTTGGACGCTTTGTTCCGCAAGGGCCTGAGGTGGGACAGAGGCAGGTGGTGGGGGGAAAAAGACAGTGCACGGTGCACACAGGAAGGAATGCACGGCAGCCCGAGTCATTACCCAGCAGCGATCTGGGGACGACCCGGGACCCTGTTCCCTGCTGAAAGTGAACTGCCCCATGGCACAGGTGGTCCTCAAGCTCTGTTCCTTTATCAAGTACCTAGTTAATCACATAGCTTAATTTGCATACTGGTAGCATCGGAAATGTTCAGGGTCTGTTACCTGTAGGGAATGGGTAGGCATTGAAGGCTGCTTGGCATGTGGGAGAGGCTGGGCCAGGGCAACATGCTGGAAACATCCCCGTCTGTTTATTCCCTGTGCTTTTCTCCGGTACCATCCTAATGGTATTTCCTGGCTTCAAGAGAGACGAAAAATGACACAGAAAGATCACGAAATGCAAAAAAGGGTATCGTTAGTACCTTCTTTAGAACTTTAATACCAACCAGCCTAAGCTGGGAGACAGGACATTATGTAGTTTCTTAGAGATTTGAATGGATTCATATAAAATTTCCAGCGTGGCATCTCCAAGTTAAGATGATCAGCTAAATGGCAACCCCTAGGTTTTAACTTTATTTTTGTGACAACCGTAAAACCACCCACAGTGGCAGAGTAGTGTCCCCAGGACTGTTAGTTAGTTCTCAGCTGGAATCCAGAAGGAGGGTGGCTCAGTCGGTGAAGCATCAGGCTCTTATTTTCCGCCTAGGTCATGATCTCATGGTTCATGGGTTTGAGCCCCGAGTCAGGCCCCACACTGTTAACACAGAGATTGGGATTGTCTCTCTCCCTGTCTCTCTCTGCCATTACCCCGCTATCTCTCTCTCAAAATGAAGAAGTACACTTAAAAACAATTTATAGAATCTGGAAGGACTTCCATTTCTCAACTCAGTGGGACCCTTGGACAAAGCAGTAGAAATGTAGGCGTGCTGGATGACAGCCAGGCCTGTCATTCGAGACAAGGGAAGACTGAGAAACTGTCCCAGGTTGGAGGACACGGTCCCTAAATAGGATCCTGGTGCAGACACGGGGAGTTAATGGGAAAACTGGAGAAACCAAAATAAAGTTCATCCTTGTAATTGCTGTTGTACCCGTGTAGATATCTTAGTTTTTTTTAAATGTTTATTTATTTTTGAGACAGAGACAGAGTGCAAGTGGGGGAGGGGCAGAGAGAGAGGGAGACACAGAATCTGAAACGGGCTCCAGGCTCTGAGCGGGGCTCGAACCCACGGACCGCGAGATCGTGACCTGAGCCGAAGTCGGACACTCAACTGACTGAGCCACCCAGGCGCCCCAATATCTTAGTTTTAATGTTTGTTTATTTTGAAAGACAGCGAGCATGCTTGGGGGAGGGACAGAGAGAGAGGGACAGCGAGAGAATCCCAAGCAGGCTCCGCACTGTCAGCACAGAGCCCGATGTAGGGCTCGATCCTGTGAACCCTGAGAACACGACCTGAGCCAAAATCAAGAGCCGCCCGGGTGCCCCTATAAATCTCTTAGTTTTGATAAGAGTACCATGATGGTGTAAGGTGTTAACTGTCGGGGAAATTGAGTAAAAAGCAAACAGGAATCCCCTGTACCACGTTTGTGGCTCTTTTGTCCATGGGAAATTCTTTCAGAATGAGAAGTTCAGAACTGCATTACAGAACAACCGAAATCGCAGCGTATTTAGGATTCTGAGTCCAAGGAGAAGGCATTGCGCCTGTGGTACGTCGAGAGGAAAATGTACAGTATTGGAGCAAAGATTCACGGCAGGAAAACGGGCAGATCTGAGAAAGGATCTGGGCTCTAAAGAACTTGGAAGCTTTAGACTTGGCTAAAAGGTTGTACACCGAGTGCTGCTCGTGGAAGGTGCGGGGAGGAAGCGCACGCGCTCACCTCCTGGTGATGCCCTCACACCCCGATGCAAGCGCCCCGCTTCTGTTCCCCTCCGAGTGCCACGCGACCGCGTCACGCCCCTCCTGACACACAGCCAGTCCTGGTGGCTCTAGCATCCCGAGCGTGGATGTCAGTCAGAGCTCCTGATGAGAAGACAGTAACTGTTGTCTAACGCATTAGACCTTATCATGAGGACCCCAAGTCAGGTGTCAGAACAGTGGGGCAAAATAAAAAACAAACCACTTTTGTCCTATTAGGGATGGTTTCCATCCCACGTGTCTTCTAGACATGGATAAGTAGCAAAATATGAATTCCGGAATGCATCTCGAAGACCCAAACACGTCAGCCTTACGCCTTCGGGTAGTTCTAATTTTTCTGTTTCTCATCGGCACCGGACAAAGCCGAGCGCCGTGATTCCTGTTCTGCACCTGTTGTCTGGAAACCTGAGAGACTCCTTGCCTGTCACTCGCTCTGGGCTCTCCCTGCACCTCCCTGCTGCCTCTCAGGGCTCTCCCTCCCTGCACAGAGAAACCTTCACCTCCCCCCACCGCCACGCTGCATTTCAAATCGTTCTTTGAAACGTCTGTTTCTCGCGTGAATCTGTGAGCATATCGAGTGTAGGACTGTGCCCTCACCCCTTTCCTTTTCCCAATATGTAATACTGTACTTGTTCACGTTGGCATTCCAGAATTAAGTCTCTCTAGTTCTATCATGGTCTAAATAGTTTCCTTTAGGTCCAGCCAAGGGTAGGTCATACATAAAGTAAAGTAACACCCTTCTGAGTGTTGACGTGGCAGGTTCAACCATCCACCTGTTGCGTTAAGCTCTTTCACTTTATTGGGAACCACCGGGGACTTAGGGGTTATGAGTCAGAAACCAAAGTAATTTATGTAGGATTCATCTATTTACTTAACCCATGGTTTTGAGTCTGTGTGTGTGTGTGTGTGTGTGTGTGTGTGTGTGTGTGTGTGTGTAATTAAGATCAGTTATATGTTCCAGAATTTGAAACTGTGATTTTCATAAATTTTATTTATGATCCCTTTCTTACAGGATAGTATAGATCCCAAAGATTTCTTTCCCCTTACTGGTTTTTTTTTTCCTGTTTCTATTTCCACTAAAAGGGGCTGGTGGCTGGTCTCCACGCGTGTCAGATAAATACCAGTGGCTGCAGATTGACCTCGGAGAGAGAATGGAGGTCACCGCTGTGGCCACCCAGGGAGGATACGGGAGCTCTGACTGGGTGACCAGCTACGTCCTTATGTTCAGTGATGGCGGGAGGAACTGGAAGCTGTATCGGCGAGAAGAAAGCATCTCGGTATGTTCCTTCCCTGCGAGTGGGTCTGTCAGAACATGAATTATGCCAATTACTGCCTGTTGCTACAAATCTATCGGATCAAGTATAGAATGGAGCCTCCTAAATTACTCGAAAAGTGTTTCCGAGTGACTGTAAGACACATGTGGCATTTTAAAATGTGCTGCCCATGTATAATTTATGAAATAAGTAAAAGTAAAACAATTTTGTAATGTAGTGAAATATTGAAAATGTCTTCCCATGATTCCTTAACATAGTGTGAAATCTAAGGAATAAAGCCACATACAACCTACTATATTTTTTGTTCCAGAACCCAGCGGCTGGTGTTGCCTTGGCATTGTTCAATTAAGTAAATTCATTCTTCTGTGTCCTCCGATTAAGTGAGATTTCTGGAAAACCCCAAATGTTTAAAAATAGGTGTAATGGAGAGTCTCCCTATGGACAGCATGTTGGGGGACACAAATCCGGCTCCAACAGGAAATTGTGTACTTGGGTGGCCCCTTGTAATTCATGGGAGCTAGATCTCTGGGATTCTTTGGAATCGTGATTATTTTGCATCCGTGACATAGTTTCGACCTCTGATTACATATCGTGTTTCTTTTGGAAGAATTAAATTTTGCCTGCCTTTTAAAAAATATTTAAATATTCATTTTAAGAGAGAGGGTGTGTGTGCATGCATGAGCGGAGAGGGAGGGAGGGAGGAAGAGAGAGAGAGAGAGAGAGAGAGAGAGAGAGAGAGAGATTGATTCAAGCAGGCTCTGTGCTGTCAGTGCAGAGCCCAGTCTGGGGCTCAGTTTCACAAACCGTGAGTGAGATCATGACCTGAGCCGAGATCAAGAGTCAGACGCTCAGCTGACTGAGCCAGCCAGGAGCCCCTTGCCTGACTTTTTGACTATGACACTATGTGAAATTTATTATCTAATTAGCATTTGTGGTTTTTAACGTTTATTTATTTTTGAGACAGAGAGAGACAGAGCATGAACGGGGGAGGGTCAGAGAGAGGGAGACACAGAATCTGAAACGGGCTCCAGGCTCTGAGCGGTCAGCACAGAGCCTGACGCGGGGCTCAAACTCACGGACCGCGAGATCGTGACCTGGCTGAAGTCGGACGCTCAACCGACTGCGCCACCCAGGCGCCCCAGCATTTGTGTTTTTAAATCACAGTCTGCCCTGAATGAGAAGCTCTGTGTGCACAGTGTTTGCACTTGGCTGGTGGGGCGGCTGATGGGGGGGGGGTGTGGCCTGTGGGAGATGTGTCAGGTGGAGAAGGACTTACTCTTTTCTTGTTACTGAAAATGCAGTTTAGATGCTTGCCAGGGGCTAGGGGAACAGGGGAATGGAGAGTCAGCGTGGAGTGGGGACAGAGTTTCAGTTGAGAAGATGAAAAGTTCTGGAGATGCACGGTGGGGACGGGTGCACAGCAGTGCGAATGTTAATGCCAGAGAAATGCACACTTAAAAGTGGCCAAAGTGGTATATTTTATATCGTGACTATATACCCACAATAAAAAATACACAGCTTAGTTTCCATTTAATTTAGGCTAAGGATATTATGTAACTTTTTAAAAAACATATATCTTTTAAATGTTTATTTTGAAAAAAATTTTGACGTTTATTCACTTTTGAGAGAGAGAGAGAGAGAGAGAGAGAGAGAGAGACAGACAGACTGTGAGCAAGGAAGGGGCAGAGAGAGGGAGACACAGAATCCGAAGCAGGCTCCAGGCTCTGAGCTGTCAGCACAGAGCCCAGTGTGGGGCTCGAACCAATGAACTGTGAGATCATGACCTGAGCTGAAGTCGGACATTTAACCAGCCGAGCCACCCAGGTGCCCCTTTAATGTTTATTTTTGAGAGAGAGAGAGAGCGAGAGCTAGTACGTGTGCAAGCAGGGGAGGGGCGGCGAGAGAGGGAGACAGAGGATCCGAAGCAGGCTTCAGGCTGTCAGTGCACAGAGCCCGACTTGGGGCTCCACGTGGGGCTGGAACCCACAAACCATGAGATCATGACCTGAGCCGAAGTCGGTCCCTCAACCGACTGAGCCACCCAGGAGCCCTGCATATTATGTAATGCTTAAAACCTTTTTCTCTTCATGGTAGGAGGAAAAGCATCATCCAGGAAGCGGCCACTTGTTAGCACGTGACTTACCTCTAACACTAACAAACAACCCAATGACAATATCCCCCTCATTTGTCCCTAAATTGCCCCCATTTGCACTTCCTTAGAACTCTGTGACTCAGTATAACTTCATAGATCATGGCCTATTTAGTTTTTTATCTCTGGACCTCTTGCTCGTTCACCAATAAATGCTGATGTAAACTGAATTAAGAAGAACTGGCCAGGTGTCTTAACAGGAGGTAAAACAGACTAGGAGAGGATTTGGGGTTTCAGGGCCAGCTGACTTCCCAAACCAGCAGTTGCCAAGTGTGTGATCAGAAGTAGATGTTGAGGTCGAGTTAATTCTTAGAACAGCAGGTCCAAAGCAGGGTTAAGATAAACATTAATTAAGAATGAGTGACAGTCAGGGGCGCCTGGGTTGGCTCCGCTGGTTGAGCATCTGACTTGTTGTCAGCTCAGGTCATGATCCCAGGGTTGTGGGATTGAGCCCTGTGTCGGGGTCTGTGCTGAGGGTGGAAGTCTGCTTAGGATTCTCTCTCCCTCTCTCTCTGTCTCTCCCTCTCCCTCTCTCTCTCTCTCTCTCTGTCCCTCCCTCTGCCCTCATCCCCACTTTCTCTTACAAAAAAGAACGAGTAACAGTTAAAACTTAACGAAGCATCTACTTATATAGAGAACTTTTATTCAAAATTAAGTCTTGGTTTTGGAAATCAGGTAACTGATAGTGCATGCTTAGTTTTTATTTCAAGTTTTTAAAGTTTATTTATTTATTTTGAGAGAGAGAGAGAGAAAGAGAGAGCACGCACGGGAGGGGCAGAGAGAGAGAGAGAGAGAGAGAGAGAGAGAGAGAATGAGAATACCAAGCAGGCTCCACACTGTTAGCGCAGAACCTGATACAGGGCTCCAACTCCCGAACGTGAGGTCAAGACCTGAGCGGAAATCAAGAGTTGGACGCGTAACCGACTGAGCCACCCCGGCGCCGCTGATGTCAAATTTTTGTTTACATTCTGGTTAGTTAACATATACGATAACACTGGTTTCACGTGTAGAGTTTAGTGCACGCCTGTTCTTAGTCGCGCTGACTATGGCTCATGTTTTTTACCCCCATCCCACTCTGATACATGGCTGAGAAATTGTGACAGTTCCTGTGTTTCGGCTCAGCAGCTCGGGGGCAACCATCTCCAAGCGTCACCATCTGGCACTTTGCTTCGAGGAGCCCAGGGGAGGTGGGGGCAGGGATAGTGGCCTTACCGATCGGAGACCACGCAGGGGAGCGCCCCTCGGTCCTGCGCCCATCACACAGTAAGGACTGGTGTGGTGGCCTACCTCCCCGTCCTGGGGACCTAAAGACCCGCCTTCCTCCTCTGCATCCCCAGAACTTCACGGTGCCTGGCCCCCAGCAGAAAGCTGGGACGCATTCGCTAGATGCGTGCGTGCGTGTGTGCGGTCTCCCTTCCGGCAGGAAGTCGCTCTTGAGTGACTGCTGTGCTCGAAAGCCCTTCGTCTCAGCGCAGGGGTCTCTGACGCTCCGCTGCAAAGATTTCTTCTGCGTCTTGATCTCCGTTAGGAAAGGTGGCTCATCCTTGCCTTCTTTTAGTCCGTCACCGCGGCTTAAGTGGATTCGTTTCCTGCTCTGGGCCCGACTCTCTATACAGTTGACTCTGACAGCGGGACGCCCCACGGGGCGATCATTACGAGATTATATGTACAGTTTCTGGAAAAAGATGAGGCCGATTTGGCTGTTCTCTGGCCCTCTCATTAGAGTCAGCGGCTCTTAATGACAACGGAGGCTCGACCCCTCCGTCAGGGTGTGGTTTTCATTACGGATCGCTGACCTTAATTGCAGAGTGAATTTGAGAGTCTAAGCAAAATTCCCTTGAAAGGTTTACACTCTTCATCAGCGACACTTTGTTGTTTTCTTGGTTTCGTGCTGCCAGTGTAAGAAGTTACCGTGCCCTTCGCGGCCCGATGCAAGGCAGAGCTGTGATGTCACGGTTTCTGCAGGTCTGAAGTTGGGGTGTAACCGGCAGGGTCTTCTGTGTAGGGGGTGGGAAGGGCTGGAGAGATCCCGATGACCCCCCTCAGGTTGTGCGACTCACTGGGGGGGGGGGGACTCACAGGAGCAGTGTGTAGTCATAAAACTGATGTTGAGAGGACACAGAGCAAAATCAGGAGAGAAGGAAGGTGCTTGGGGCACAGCCCGTGGCAAACCAGTCCTAAGCCCCCACGAGTCCTCTCCACGTGGACACCCATAGAACATGCTTCATTCCTCCTCAAGAAAGTTCTGGCAATCTGCGTGAGGTGTTGCAACCGTGGAAACTCATCAGACGCTCAACAGCTGGGGGTATTTTGGGGGGGGCTGGTCGCATAGGCACCCTCCGCCTTGTGAGACCCCCTACAAGGACGACGGTGTTGAGTATAAACTATACCGTTTGCACAAACATCAGGCACAGTGAGCCCCTCTCATCATGAGGGTCTTGGGAACGGGCCAGCCTTGTGATTCGAACCGGTCCAGGTGATTTGAGAGTCCAGCCACACTGTAAGGAGGGGGTTCGGTGGTCTGTGTCTTGACTGTACCCGAGAGCCTTCCCTGCCCCTCGCCTTCCCTGGGTTCGCTCCTGGCATTTATTTCCCCGTACAGAAGGGTGGGTTCAGAAGTCTGTGGACGCGCTGTGACTTGCCTGGCTCTGCCGAGGGGCCGTCGGGAAATGCGTGTCTGTGGTCGTCGGAAGAGCCCATGCCACCAGCCGGCTCCATCTGCCCCGCACTAGGGACCAAAAGCCCTGGACGGTGGGTGGAGCCATGTAAGGACCTAGTGGCCACCCGCATGGGACGGCCGTGTTATCAAATTTCCTGTCCTTCGTCTCTCTCTCCTTGAGCTTTGCCTTTCTTG